TTTTTTTTTTGCCTGTGAGGTATATCAAATGACAGTGCGCATAAAGTCCACACCTAAGCAGTGTTGCGGAAAACCCCCTCACTCATTGTTTTTAGATCACAACTATTAAACTGCAAACTTTTCTATATTTACAGCACAGACATCTTTGCCTTCTCAGCACTGTAAGCACATTGGGTAGTACACATGAGTAATTTAATGTAATAAATTAAGCTTTACTGTATTAATTATACAAATGTCTTACAAGCATTCATGCATTTGCAGTCTAAATTTGTGATTTTTCAGTTTACTGAATCATACATCTGTCATACGTCTGTGTCACTGCTGCACAGCCACTGTTTACGTCACCACTTGTTGTTGCAGCTTCCTGTTTCTTCTCTTTGCGGTTTTTGGATCCCTGTGGATCCAACATGTCTTGCAGTATATCTTTGCTTTCGCTAGGGGGCAGATTGTAGAAGAAGTACAGTGGTGCAATTTCAACGAACCTAAAAGAGAAATTTGAAAACCAATATTAAATGTAAAACATTTGTGTCAACACAAGATATTGTGTAGATAAAGAGATTAAAAATATTCAAATTAAAATGAGATCAAATGGCTCATGCTTACTGCAGTAATAAACATGTTCGTTTTACCTCTGCACTACACGACAGGTAATCCTTGAGACCTCAGTTCTAATCTGTACACAACTGTTCTGATGGGGATTTGGGGGAAAACGGAATTGACTTACACTTGCGGGGAAATTTCCGAGACTATTCTCATGCAGTTTTCTGAAAGGATGTACTCATTGAAAACAACCCACTCAGGCAGTCCCAGCTTGTGTGACTGAGCCCCGTAGCAGGAGTGTGGGTGCACCTGAGCCATGTGCTTATGTGCAAGAATGAAGTAGTTGCCTGATCCGTCCACATCTCGAGCAATCTGGGAAAAGAACAGGCCTCGTAAACTTGAACACAATTGAATTGCTGGAGGTAAATTCATTGATATTGACATTTTGTTTTTCTGTACCTGCATGAAGAATCCAGCCAGCAGAGCTCTTTTGATGTTGTGAGTGTTAGTCTTGGTTCCAAAGGAGGGTTCAGAAATGGGGAGCTCAATTCTGTTCAGTGTGTCAGTCAACTCTGATCTAATGGAATCGGCTGTCCTCAACGCAGAATGATCTAGAAAATAGTCCTGGCACCACTTTTCAGTAGTCAAATCTGGGAGAAAACATCATGCACAGAGAGAGAAGCGCTGTGGTCAGCAGTATTTACGTCAAGTTTCTATCACAGTAAAAACAGTTTAATTCCTAATGCCTTTTAAATAGATCAGATTGAGTGGAAAAAATGACAATGTGGAGGTAATTAATTAATTAATTCAAGAGTATCGTAATATGATTTACTAAAATTTCAAGCAGTTTGCCTCTCGGAATCGAAAGTTTGTTCTTGGGCTTAAATGAGAATGCATCTGGTATTAACATACACATTTTAGCTGTTTTTAAAAACATTTTTAATGTCTTCTTTTAACTGTTTTTTTCGTTAGTTTTTAGAATAGATAGTTTATTCTGATCCATCTGGTTATAATTCTTCATGAAACTGAAATGTAACATCTGTCCCATAGGATAACACAGGCTTTGAATCTAGTTTTAATTTACCACAGTAGAGAACAAAGATCAAGTCACCAGTTATTTCATTAGGTACACCTGTTTCACCACCTGCTCATTGATGCAAATACCTTAATTTATCAAATCACATGGCAGCAGCAGCCCAATGCATTTAGGCATGGTCAAGGTGACCTAGCTGAAGTTCGGAGCGAGCATCAGAATGGGGAAGAAAGATTAAGTGACTTTAAATGTAGTATGGTTGTTATACCTGACGGGCTGGTCTGAATATCTCAGAAACTGCTGATTTTGCCAAAATGGGGATTTTTCCACACAACAATCTCTAGGGTTTACAAAGAATGGCCAAAACAGTAACAACAAGTGAGGGGCACACTGTTTCGACCTGATACAAAAGCAACAGTAACTCATATAAGCACTTGATTCAACCAAGCTATGCAGAAGATCATCTCTGAATGCACAAATGTTGAACTTTGAAGCAGCAGAAGACCACACCAGATTTAAGAGCAAAAAATAATTGAACCAAATTGCTACAATTTGCACAGGCTCAACAAAATTGGACAATGGAAGACTAGGAATGTTGAGTCTGTTAAGCTTTGGTTTCCGCTCTGAAATTTGGATGGCATAAACACCACGAATGCATTAATTCATCCTGCCCTGCATCAACAGTCCAGGCTGCTGGTCTAAGGGATATTTTCTTGGCACACTCTCCGCCCCTTACAACCAATCAAGCATCAATTAACTGCCGCGGCCTACTTGAGTATTGTTACTCACCGTGTCTATCCCTATCCCACACTGTACTGGCTCATTATCTTGGCTGCTTCCAGCAGGATAATGTTCAAATAAATAAAGCTCAAATCCTCTTAAATCTGTTCCTTGAACATTACAGAGGAATGTTTCCAGCACCTTATTGAACCAATGCTATGAAGAAATAAAGCTGTAAGGTATAAATAATGAAGTGGCTGATGAGACTTATCTCTTGAAGAGAATAGATTGGTTCTGTTCAATGACAGTCTTACATTGTTCTCTCTGGTTTTGTTTGTAGGCGTTGTAGATGTTTATGAGGGTGAAGTGATCTCCTTCAGGGTGCTGGAACTTCCTGTGACACTGGACTGCCTCGTGGCTCATGGCAGCAGGCGGCTCCACAAAGCAGCTTGGTGCTAAAACACAACAACAAACAAGGTCGACTTCACTGAGAGAAACCACTCTCACCAAAGAGCATCAGAAACTGCAGATGAGCCAATACTACGCTGTCCACCTGGTGATTCTACAAACCAGTCAAAGGATCCTCACTTGTAACTAATCTTAAATTCTGGAGTGGGAAAATGTAAAACGTACGTACCTGACAACATGGCTGTGATTGTCAGCATCTCACTCACACAGTCAAACTCGCAGGATGCTAGCAGCGCTTTGGCCATCTGAGGTTCCAGAGGGATTTCAGACATTATGATGCCAATTTCAGACAAGTTGCCATCATCGTCTAAAGCTGCAAGGTAATCGAGCTCCTCCAGTGCCTGCATGAGACCCTCTGGATCTGCAACAACAAATGGAATATTTTAAAATTTCACACATTTCATTGCTATATCTATTAAGGGGGATAAAATATCAACAGCAACTTGTGTCATCTGAATAATCAAAGACACACTCATCACAAATCAAATGCCTTCGGCTTTTATTTCTTTCCTATAGAGAAAATATAATTTATATAGCAAGTGCCTTTTGTCCCACATTTTCAAAAAAATATTACAGCACTTTTGGCATGGACTTCCTTTTCATTGTGCTCGTCTGGCACTGCAATACATGAGACATGTTGTGTAATCGTTAATGAGCTGGCCTCTTCTGTTCATGTTAGGGTGGGTCAGAGCACAGACAATGGTTAGTAGCTGGGCTGTCAGCTCAGCTAAGTCATGGATGACTGGGCTCAAACAGCTACACAGAGCCCTTCCTGAGTCAAAAACCTCCCACATGCGAATCTTTGGCTTGGGTTGTGAGAGAGATGCTGTTAGTGGGAACCAGTAAAAACTAAAATAAAGAACAAAACTTCTTGTTGTCCAGCATGTGTTCCAGTGGCAACTTGTCTAGTTTCCTCTGGACAGATATTTTACCTGGTCTGTCGATGAAACTGCACTGTCCAAGGCCTGCAATCTCCATCCTTTTGAGGAAAAGAACTGTCGGTGTAATGTTGGACTCCAAGATCTGTGGGGAGTTCTCTGCAGAAGTTAGGCTTGCTTCTGGATACAGGCAGAAGCATTTACCTAGAGGAAAAAAATCAGTAAAACCGTTGCACTTAAATTTTGTGTTTGTTTATTTTGCTTTTTTTAAATAATGCTGGGAAGTTTTTGCTTTGGCTTTCTTAAGTCCAAATATTAATTAATATTGTAATATGTCCAAATCTGCAAGTATGAAAATTATCCAAATGAATGAAAGGATGATAAATTAACCAGTCTGCTTTAGTCTTTTCTGTTGTTTCTAACCCAAGAAGCATCAGATTTAGTTACCAAAGATGGCAGCTTACATTCTTTCAAAGAAGAAACGTTTTAGATAACTGCTTTAAGTATTGCCAAGTGAGGAGATGACATGACATTATACCTGATGGTCCAGACAGCTGCTTGCGAATGTCTGCCTGGCATTGACTGATGGGTTGAAGAACCTCTGAGCTAGCTCTTACTCTCGGATTGTACACCTTTACATAAAAGTAAAAACAGTGCTAATTAATATCAGAGGAATGCTCATTTAAGATTGCTACATCACTTTGGAATTAACTTACCATTTTCTTCTGGACTCCTGTGTCAATGACAAATTTGACAGACTCTGTAGCCCACCATGCATCCTCACCTTGACGGGTACTGAGAAAAACCTTTCTGGACTTTGTGGAGCATGACTGCTCAGGCAGGACAGGAAGTAGCCCTCCTTGGCCTGAGCACAGGACTACAAGTACCATTTGTCCCAACTGTCCACCCAACCTGGTCCCTTCTCTTTGGAGTATACTATAGGCACAGTGGACCTCCTGCAGGAGGTAGTGGAAGCGAAATTTAAACCAGATCACAACAGGCATTAGCACAGTGAAAGAGCTGTTTGAAATATAAAATCTTTTACCTCAGCTGAGCCTAAAAATACGAAAACATCTCCACCCTCTTTGGTCCGATGGATCTCCAGCACGAGTCTCAGTGTTGAGTAGAAGTAGTCTTTGTTGCCGTTGTTGCTGTGCACAACTTCAGCAGTGCATGAGGACTCTAGACTGATATGCAGGACACTGCCATAATGTCTCAGAAGCTTGTCTGTCATGGGCGGCACAGTGAGAACCACCACCCTGAGCTCAGGCCTCTGCAGCAGGATGTCCTTGAGGAGACCCAGCAGAATGTCTGTGCCAACCGTCCTTTCATGGGCCTGGTCAATGATTATGACCCCGTAGTGCTCAAGAAAAGGGTCAGACATCATCTCTCTCAGCAACATATCATCAGTGCAGTACCTGATAAACCAAAGTGATCAGGAGGGTTAATAATAGAGGTTTATAAAACAGGAATAAGATACGGTCAATTTGTCACCATTTTGCTTGAGCCTGTTAGTTAAAAGTACACACACACACACACACACACACACACTTGGGAACAGCTAAAACCCTTTTACGTTTTAAGTCTTAATTTTTTTGCAGCTGCTGATTTAAACATCTAGCAGTAATATTATCTTTTATGTAAAGTGGATCTCTGGCTGACTGGTGAGACCAGTATTTACCCTCTTTTAGCTCCCTTTCATTTCTCCATGTCATGGAGAAATATTATCTGGCTCTTTAGCTGCTGAAACCTCCCCTGCGTTCACCAATTAGTCGCCAGCTGCTTCTGCTTTCAGAAATTAAAGGCTCACTTCAATTTACACCATGCTGTGAAAATGATGCACTTATTCTATAAAATAAGTGAAAATAGGGGTCATTTGCACATGGAAATAACACTCAGAGATGATCGTTTCTATTACTAACATTTACTTGATTAAAACTAGATCATGTGCAAAGCCCAGCACAAGTTTCAAAAGCAAAAAGTGTTTAGTGTGCATTGATATATTAGATGCAGGACTGTGCAAAAGTCTTGAGCCATCTTTCATTTCTCTCTATATATACACATCTCATTTTACTGGGAAAATGGATAATAGGATACTGTAAAAACAGAGTTTGTACATTTCTAATGTGGTTAAAAGTCAATATTTGGTGCAACCACCTTCACTCTTCTACATACCCTGAACTCTCTCAGTCAAGCTTTCACGTCATTTCTTTAAGTTAGCTTCACAAACAGTTCTCCAGGCTTCTTGAAGGACATTCAAAGCTCCTTTTTGGATGTTGACTGCCGTCTGACCCTTAGTATCGACTAAGGGTCAGACGCATCTTTCAAGCGTTATGGCAGGTCTTCTTAAAGATTTACATATCTTTAGGTCTACCACTTCCTCTTTTGTCCTCCACTTGTCCAGTTTAATATTGCAATATTTCGGAGGATTCTACTACTGAGTGTTTGACATTTGGGACAATAACATAACATAACAAGAGTCGTTGAATATTAGGCTATATAGATATGCGCATAATTTCCTTTGAACTGGTCGACTTTATTTAGATCAAGAATGAGCTCTGTCCTTTGTCAGCAGTGAGCTTCCATCAATTAATAAGGAATAGAGGAAAGGAAAAAATTTAAGAATGAAAGGGGAAATTTGTGGATTATATTCAAATGATAGTCCACTGCTGGCAGTGAAATAGACACAGTAAGAGCTCATTAACAAACCTCAAAACAGTGTCAGAGGAGCAGCAGGTCTCCAGAGGGATGGTGTAACCAACTTCATGGCCTATGTTGACGTCCATTTCATCAGCGACACGCAAGGCCAGATCTACAGCCTGCTGTTTGCCGGTCTGAGTGCACACAACCATACCATGCTGATACTGGGCAGACAGACAGAACTCTGCACACCACTGAGGGATCTGAAAGAAGATCATTGATAAAAGCTTAAAAAGTCTTTATAGTAAAATATGATTCAGGACATCAGTACTACCTCAAATATTAAACAAGAGAATGTTTTCTACCACATCAGCTGTTTTTTCTCACTCACAAGAGTCCTTTTCAGATTATCCCAACAGCTTTTGTTTGAGCACACAGCAAAACAAACTGTGACAGGAGATATCCTATGCTATTATCGCTCATAATGCAAAACTGCTTTGGCAGCATGTGTCGGCTCCAGCGGATCAGGGCTTAGCAGCTGGAGGTCCCCTAACACCCCTGCTGGAGCCTTTGTGCAGACTGATGGTCAGGCAGACAGGAGTTTACACAGCTTCACAGTGACACAACATCATCTGCTGAGCTGGGCAGCTTCTGTTCACACAAGCATGGCAACACTGAGTGACAAACGGTAGTCCTAAATATATCAAATCGCAGGGAGCGTTGGATTAAGCATGTGTAATTTATACAATGTAGGTTATGCTCTGGTAAACGCCCCATTATTATGAAGCTCCACATTCATCCTGTACATAAGTCCAGGTTCATAAGTTGAATGTAAAAATTTCCTTACTAAAATAATAATAACACTGACTACACTCTTACCTGTGTACTCCTGCCAGTCTTTGCTGCCCCGGACACAATAACCAGCTGGTTGTTTGCAAGAGCATCCTCAAACTGACATCTGACCTTCCACACACTCAGAGTTTTCCTCTCCTTCAGTAACTTGTAGTAACGCGAGGAAAAGGGCAATCCATCGAACTGATTTAACTCCAGATCATCTCCAAATCCAAAAGTGTCTTCTGCGGGACTTTCTTCACGGTCAGGACAAACGTTCGGCTCTGCCAAATTATTTTCCTCCCACATGACATACGGGTTTATCAGGACTAGCGCACAGTAAGTTTTCTTCTTCCACTCCAACTAGAGGTCCATTATTCTCAAATCGGAAGCATAGAAAAACAGACTGCGTGCCTTTCCATCTGGCGTTTAAAAAAAAACACAAAATCCCACGCTATGTTCGCGTATTTGGACGGAGTACAAGGTGAGATAATCCTTTTGCTGAGGCTTTTGTTTTTAATGTTTTATTTAAAGCTGTTCAAAGTTCGCAGCTGTCCACTTTGGAGCTTGGTGCGCGCAATGTCCATCGGTGCGTAATTTCATCTCAGCGTGGTTTCACACGTGTTTTGATTTGCGTAGAGCTTCACATGCACCAATAAGAACGTCCGAGAGACTGTCATAATCGCCTGCATATTATCATGAAATCACGTGTAAAGCAGTGAGGACACTTATGGCGTCGTTGTTGCCACCAGTAACAATATCTCTAAAAATATATTTTCATGTAACGTTGAAAGGTACAAGCTCATTAAAGTGTATTAGAATTTCAGCAGTAGTCAGCAGGCTGTATATAGATGATTATTATTGTTTTTATATTTAAATGTTAGCTGGAATTCCATTTTTAACTTTAGTTAATGTTACAATTATATTCTTACATAATTGGCGTTCATTTACAAATCACCTTACCTTTATCAGAGTAATAAATGAAACTATTTCAGCTCCTGATAAACAGCAAATCTGTAAAAAAAAAAAAATAGAGCTAAAGCTCCTGAGAGCAGCCAAAAACAGATATGTCAGTAATTTTGATCATTATTAAAGCTTTTAAACGCAATGTTTAGACACTTCACTGAGGTGACACTGCGTCTCATCTCTCACCCACTGACAAATAAAATGTGACTAATTAGAAAATGTTGGCTGAGGCTGATTTCAAAAGCTCATCAGAAACATTTTTTCTTCGTTAGCGCGCGGCCTCAATTTCTTATCAACAAGAGATTTCCTCCCCAAAGTTTCCTTTCAGTATCCTTTTAATTACACACAACCACTTAACTCCACCACATCACTGCAAGCGAATCCTGATAGTAAGCAGTTCTATTGATTTAAGCGTTATTTCTATCCCCTATGGAGACCTTGTCAAATTGCTTTAAGAAAAAGGCTCACAGCATTAAAATGAGATTAGCTTTTACAGCAAGTATGAAGCCTTAGACTTTTCTGAAAATAAATGCTGCTCTAAAATGTTAGATCACCCTTATTATAATGTTTATTATTTGAAATGTAATTTAAAATTGGTTTATTAAGCATAAAAAGTGCCAGAGGGTTCTGATACTGAGGTTTTGAAATGTGAAGCTGGATGAAATCTTTTTGTATTTACACTGGCTCAGGCTTGTGGAATGAACATGTCATTGTTTTTTTCAGTTTTGAATCTTTAATTGATGAGTTCAAGTGTCGCCTGTGTTTCTGTAAATGTAATAAAAAAAAGCATAAAAAGTCAATAACAAATGTTTTCAGTGTAAAAAACAGGTTTACTAATACTGATTGTTTAAAATACCATGATCAGACACAGACACTTTAAGTGTTTTTTTTTTTTTTGTTTTACATATGATGCCTTAAAGAACAATCCTTAACAAAAATTCTCCATGAAAAAAAATGTGCTCACCTGTAACACAACATACAAAGAACATACAATGTAACATACAAACAGGTCTCTATTAGGCATAGACAGACAGCATTGAAAAAGCAAAGTAAATAAAGCAATGCATGTAAAACTAGTGCATTATTATAAAGAGTATCAAAAGTAACAAAATTCTATCCATATCAGTTTTCAGCAGACATATTTGTGAACAACAGCGGTGCTCAAAGGAAATGTTGCTCATTGTGGATGTATATATGTATTTATATATGATGCACTGCAATCCAGCAAAAACATTAAGTAAACCAAAATGATAAAACAGTGTTCATTTTTTAAAAGATTATCTAAAATATGTAAAGTAGAAATGTTTAAAAAAAAAAAAAAAAAAGGAAAACTAAAAAATGAACAGAAGCCCAGATACACTTGAGTGAGTCAGCATATACTGAGTAACCATTAAACATCATTTCTGTGGCAGAATGAAATCTAAAAATGTTTTCTTATCAAGTAAAAATGTCCTTTCCAGTTAGATAAAAACATGACTTAAAATGCACATATGAACACCGCAGCCAGACTTTGGCTGTTTACATGCGAGGAACACCTTTAAGCAAGTCATCAGTGATTCCATGATTTAATCTAGTCCTTGGTGCAGCAAGCATAGAAGGGAAAAAAAATTAAAAACACACATGACCTTTAGCAAAGCAAATATTTCAGATAGGTTTACTCTTTCTGAGGGATACTTTCTTGATCTTGGCTCATTTTAGATCTCTGTACCCGGATCCCTCAAGAGTGCATATTGGGCCTTGCAAATGAAAAGGAAATGGCAAATCAGTGACATTTCACAGTTGAATTTGTTACCTTTCCGTGATAAAAATGACGAAGAAAAAGGAACAGGCCTGGATTTCATTTTTGAGCCAAGAAACGACCCGTCTTCTTGATTGCAGAACGCATCAAAGATCTGTTGTATTAATATCACAATCTCCTTTGCTGCAGTTGTTTCAAGCCTTGTCAGATGGCCCAAAGTTGCTACGCAGAGCGTTACCCTTCAAGAAAACCCCAGTGGATTAAAAAAAAAAAATACTACAAATGTTGTTTGATGCTCCCATCTATCATTGCACAACTCTTTTGAAATTCTTCACTTATGACGCAAAACAAAACCACAATGTAAAGGGTTCCCTTCATTTAAACACATTCCACAAAAGCGTCTCCGTTGGCACAATTTCACAGATCGCTCTCCTTCATAAACGTCGGCTGATGTGAAGGCGCGAAACGAAAACAAGTAATTCAAAATTCAAAGTTGCTACCATGTCTTAAAAGTGTCTGGCACAGTGCACTGCGTGGCAATAAATACTGAATATAAATACTTTACATGTACCTGAGCTCAGACTCGTAGCACCATTCAGAGACAGAGCACCAAAAGGGACACGGCAGGTCTCCTGATTCAAAACTCAGAGAAGCCACCACCTTTTTAAGGTTTTTCAGAGTTTTCATAGTGCAAATCTTTTCAGTCTTATCATAACAATGTCCCTTCTGGCCAAAATCTCAGCTGCTGTATTTGACGTTGGCAATAATGCAAGGCTTTGGTAGTGTTGGGGGGTGCTTGGGACTCGGCCTAGAGGAAGAGAAAAGTGGAAAAAAAAAGTAAAAAAAATGTTTCAGCGAGTTAAATATATCTAGGTAAGGTTTGAACCCACCTGTTGAGGTGTGGGATAGGACGTGGAGGTCTGGGCACGGCAGGCACAGGGCCACAGACACTAGGAGGTCCTTGGCCTGCGGTTTGGCTCTGCTGAACAGAGGGACTTCGCACCAGTCGAGACCCCCTTGGATCAGCAGGTAGAGGTTTCTGAGGAGGACTGGGCTTCTCCAATTCCTATTAAAGGACAGACACTTTTAAATAATGATGGAAACTCACCACCAGGTGGCACTAACAGTCAGATAATTATAGCCAATGCCTGCTTTTCTTTGAGCTTCTCTTTGAGGCGCCGACGCTGTCTTCTCTAACCAACTAATAACAGGAAAACTATCATGCTGTTTAAATCTTCTCTAGAATACAGAGATCATGATTCATTCCCTACTCTTCTCCTGGGCTAAGGAGACATTTCCACAAACACCACAGAGAGAAAGGATCAACAGGGATGAACCTCAGACCTCACACACCCACAAAACAGTCTGTCTAAAACCCCGCTCACTTCCTCAGGTGGAGCTCTCACATTTAACAGTGCTTCAAAGCCCGCAGCAGAGAGATTTCACTCATGACTTATGTTCTTTGTTAACATCCTGGAGCTGCCAAACAGCTGCTAAAGATACAGTTGATGAAGCCTGCTGCCAACAGGAATCACTTTGCCATTTAATAGGAGCAGCTGAGAGGGCCTACTTCTTAAAGTAAAAACAGCCAAGAGCTTCTGTACGCCACATTTTGAACAGGTGTATGAGCTTTTATGAAATCGACGGGTGCTTTTTAAAAATTCTCCAGCAGTCAATACTGTATATTATCAATCTGCTTTTTAGAAGATGTTATCATGCACGCTGTATTTTGCTTTGTGTCTCTGTGTGTTTTTTCTGGCATCTTGTGCAATACACAGCATTTGTCACCTATTGTAACTGTCACCTGGAAGACATTTGTTATATGATTAAATCTTTGTTTTCTCATGTTGTTATTCGTTTTTTATGTATATGGTAGTTTCAACATAAATACATTATTAGATATTTAATGCAAAAAAAGAAATTCGGCAGTATTCCTGGGGTCGCTGGGGTTCAATTATGTTCAGTTTTCTTGATCAATTAGTAACAATGGATGACCTTTATGCTTTTTCCACAGGCAAAGGTGACATTTGCAAACGTTTTCGATAATATTCAATGTTACAGAACCGAAACATAAAAGCAGCCAAGGCTGGAAATGAATGCCGACAATTTTTGTCGGAGATCCAACCTTGTTCATCTGAGCCTGAAAGAATCGTGCACCAATGATCTCCAATCAGTTTCTGTCTTTTTAACAACACTCAAACACTCAAATCATTTAGATTGGCTCTTTTTACTTCTGTCTCTTTGGGCTTGAGTACCTCCAAGAGTACAAATCAAATCAGTTTAAAGTCAAATAAGAATTACTATTTGGCTTTCTGTTCCTCTCAGTTTTGAAACCCTGCAATGCCATAACTAAAGCCCATGCAATAACAGTGGCAATAAGTTTGCCACCCTGTGATATTTGTACATACTTGCTCCTTGCAGTTGCTGCCCTCACACGCTCCCCTCCTGTGAGTCTGGCTCCATTTTTATTATTTATGTTGTGGTTTTTGTTGTAGAGCTCAAGCTTTGCTTGGATGGCGCTAGCTCCTGGGCTAACCTCGTTATTTTATGTGACTGTGCATAACTGTCAACATGCCTCTGCTTTTATAGCACACGAAAGAACCATGAAAACAGTCGACATCAAAAAACAGCAATTTGAAAGTGCATCGAACATCATCATTTCCCCGGTTGGGTATTACAGGCCTGGGTAGCGAGTAAAAGCTCCCCAGACACAGCGGTGGCGAAATTACAGTAAGTAACATCATCGAATAAAATGTTTCCAACTGAGGAAACAGGAAATTCACTCACCATGACCATCCTGCAAGAGTTGTGGTGTGATGCACTGTGAAATGACGCCCCTCTGGGTGCGACGTGGATGTGAGGTGGAGGGGCTCGGTGAGGAGGAGGGACTGGGGGTCTCGGTTGCCC